AAATAAAAGAAATTGCTTCAAGGGGATGCAACTCTCAAAGGGGATAATGAAATCCTACGTGACCTCATATGGTAATACATCATGATCAGATCTACCTCTTGTCCACATAAAGTCATAATATCTTTAAAAACAACGAGGGGGGGGCCATGTTGAAAAAACCCAATAAAAGGGAGATAACTTCTACAGGGGATGATGAAATCCTACGTGCCCTCATCTGGTAATACTTCATGATGAGGTCTATCGATGGTCCATATTTGGTCTTGATAACTCCAATAGAAACGAGGGGAGGCCATGTAAAAAAAATGCTGGAAAAAAAAAAACATTAGAAAAACAATAAGGTCTTTCGTAACGGAGTGGAAAGACCTTAATATTGGATAAGAAGGAATAGAGTGAACAAGATCCAGTGTAACTCAATATATCATATTCATGTTCAATAACATCCATTTTTGATTTTGGAAATTTCAATAAAAAAAAAAACTGACAATAGCTCTTTTCAAAATAGGTAAAGGCAGTTTTAGAAACTGAAAGAGGTATTGCAAATAAAAGATGGGCACACTAACAGGCTTCACGCTATAAAAGTTTCAAATGCAGAGAGCTTGAGATGGCTCCTACAAAATTCTAATTTGACAGTCTTCTATGACGTTGCGCTATTGTCTTAACATTATGACGTCAATGTCTTGGCCATCCGTCACATGATCACGATAAAAAATGACTGGTTTAAAAAATTACATTCAGATTCTTCCTTGTAAATGTTTTCTAATAGAAATGTTGATTATGGAATTAGAAAGAACTTCTGTTTTTCTCGCTAATTCCTTACAAGTTGGACACCTTATTTTCACATAAATTTTTAAGATTTTTAACAGCAGAACACACCCAGGGTTTAAATCATAACACACATTGTTGTATTCAGAATTGTGCAAAACATATCGCCTGGGAATAGGATTATGGTGAAAACATGTTTACTCGGTAGAAGTGAATACCTAAACTTTATTAAGACAAAAAATCAAATGAAAAGAAAAAAATGCTTAACGGAATAACTACAACATGCTGCTTTTAAAAAATATTAATGTTGATTTTTTTGGTAAATAAGTATTGATTTTTGGAATCTTTAAACAATTATAAAGAAAACAAAATAAATTCAAAATTGGAAGTGCGGGGAATTTGAAGACCCTCTAAAGCCCTTAGCAGATTGTGACCTCACTTTTTATAATATTTTTCCCTTATAGCGCAAATCCTGTAAGTGTACTCATACTTTATTTGCAATACCTGAAACTTGTGCTTTTACCTTTTTTGAAAAGAGCTACATGTATTGTCATGTATTACCTTAAATCGGTCATTTGTACCAGTTAATTTTCCTACATGAACCGACATTTGTATTAGATGTAAACATGAACCCACCACAGCTTTAATGAAAATTTATTATCATTTTCAGGAAATTTGACCACTTTTTGGATAACTGTATTAGATGTTGCCTTTAATCAACCATGTATTATAGATAATTGTATAGTAAGTAACGCCAAACCTGTCATCGGTTTATTGATCATTTTTCTACATTTTATTTTAAATTTGACAACTTTGTTTAAAATGTATTTGATAATACCTTAAATCGGTCATTTGATCAAGACAATCTTCTTATATGTATTGACAATTGTATAAGAAGTAAACTTGAACCAACCACAGCTTTGTTTAAAATTTTACATTTTTCAGTTAATTAAACCACTATTTGGATAATTGTATTGGATGAAACCTTAAATCGACCAAATTTTAAAGATATTTGAATAGAATGTACATCAAACCTGCCATCAGAGTATTGATATTTTTTCTACATTTCACTGTAAAATTGACAACTTTTTTTGATAATTGTATTTGATACGCAGCGACGTTAAGGGCGTTTCAAGAAATATCCCATTTTTATACACAGGAAAAATCATATTGAACTCAAAGTTAATTTTCTTTGCTTAACGGTTAAAATGCACGTCAAAAGCGTAAACAGAGGGAAAACGGTCTTTTCTGAATCACATTCCAAACTTTTATTTATAGAAAAATATAAATACACTAGTGTCACGTGACTTCAAACTGAAAGTAAGGACATTTCCTAAAAAAGTCAAAAGGGCAGGTGCAAGATGAAATCCGATCGCCCTGGTTTTTGGCTCACTGTAATCAGGATAACTTATTTTGTTGGAAAAGTGCTGTGCCTAGTTTTTAATAGAGGTGTTGTAAATAAAAAACAATAAAACGTGGAGAATTTTTTCGATTTATTGACTTTTTGGCACTTCGGGTTGTGAAATTTCTTTTACACGAACGCTATGTAACTAGGCACAGCACTTTTTGAAAAATTTGAAATGTGGCCTTTCTACCAATACCAGAATCAAGTGGGTTGGTATAGCTCTTGCACCTGCCCTTTTCAATTAATTTAGCATGATGTAGTATTATCGCCTTGAAATGTGAGAGAAAAACGTTTGAATGACCCTGCAGTAGTCGGATCGGCTGACGGAAAAACTCAGTGTATTTTTTGTACTCACCGTGTAGCGTTTCATATATAATAACGTCATGTTGGAGCGAATAAACAAATATTCTCTTATTGCTTGCTTAATTTATTGAAGCTTCCTATTCAGTATTGGTTTTTTTTTCAGGTTATTTTTATTGTGACAGGCTGGACTTTCATAAAATAGAATATTTACATCTTCTTGCATTCCGCCTCTTGTGTATATCACCGCAAATGGCTGAAATGGCAGAGGCGGATTCATGTGGGCTCTGATCCCTTGTGTATCAACCAATGTATGGTTAATGTATACACTTCTTATATGTCCATAACTTCGATTAGTGCATGGACACGCCCCCCCCCTTTTTTGTCAAAATCCGGAATCTGGGGTCACTCATAGTGCAGTTCTCATTTTTGCAAATGCAAGTTCATTATATAATTAATAGAATACTCTCTTCTAGTGCTTGTATATTGGGAACCATTAAAATTTTAATGAAAAAAGTTGCATTTTCATACAGAACTTTATACCAAAATTCATGATTTTTTTGTTTGCTCTTTGTCATTGACAATGAATGTTTAAATCATGAATATTAACTCCTACCTGCATATAAATATTCACATTTTACTAGTTGAATATCTCCTGTATCTCAAGTGTGACTGGTATCAATTTGTAAATCATGATTGGGAGGTCTTTTTGAATTTTTTTGCCTATGAATGAATATGAATTTTCACCAGTTACCAGGCCAGTATTTTGTATGGCTTGCTACAGCATTGAGTACCCCATACTTCAAAAAAATGTACCTTGAGCTCTCATTATTTATGCTTACACTATATCATAAAGCGATAACCAGTTTGACAAATATCGGATGCATATATATACACGACTAATTTTAATCGCATCTGTGAAAAAAACCCACATCCAATTAGTTTCAGATACATGTACATGTACCTATGATTCAATCAACAACCTTGTCATATATATCATCTCAATTTCTCAACCTTATAATTTACATTAATCATGTTTATACCATGAAGTTGGAAATAGTGACCTATTTTTTTTCTGCTGCTCATTTCATATTAAATCCCTGTCTACCAGTGTTCACCAATACAAATGGACAGCCAAGAAATAGCCAAAAGTGCTTACATGACATTCAGCACAATCAATCAATTGTTTTTTCATTATCAAGTGCCATAATATTTTAAGGTTCATCTCAAACATGTCAAAATCAGAAAACTTATTTCCCATCACCTGCTGAGATTGGAGGCAACTGAATGGTATTTCTTTTCTGTCAGAATAAAAGAAATTCTATGTACCATATATAATATAAATACACAGAAATGACTAACTCAATCACAATTAATACATATATACACAATCCAAAAGTTTCAGGCAGTGTCAGGTGAATGAATCATGACATAGCGGACAGGACAAACTAGTCAGCATGGAAATCAAAATGATGTGTAAATGCTTATAAAACTACTTCCTACAAATATCATTGACAAGGGTACAATCAGTGGTTAATCTTTACCTGAACCAATCACAAGAGTAAAAAAATGACTTAATTGTAAATCAAAACTTCATTGGCAATTATACCACATCATCTTTTTTTATATCAAATTCTAGCTGTAATACAAAAATATGTGTGCAATTTCAAACTGAGAACAAAACAATTTCTGTCTGTTTTGGGGATGCTGTCTCATTGCCATACATGTATACCCAACATCTTTTGCTAAACATGCTAGATATAAGAATCTCTAAAACAGTAACTGTGAAAATATTCCATCGCAAGTTTCCAATAAAATTGAGAATGGAAATGGGGAATGTGTCAAAGAGACAACAACCCGACCATAGAACAGACAACAGCAGAAGGTCACCAACAGGTCTTCAATGCAGCGAGAAATTCCCGCACCCGGAGGCGTCCTTCAGCTGGCCCCTAAACAAATATATATACTAGTTCAGTGATCATGGTGATAATGAACGCCATACTAAACTCCAAATTGTACACAAGAAACTAAAATTAAAAATAATACAAGACTAACAAAGGCTAGAGGCTCCTGACTTGGGACAGGCGCAAAAATGCCAAGTTTATATATCCTTCAAAAAGACTCAGAATTTTTTGAGTAAATTTATTCCCAAGATAATTTTAATTATTGAACAATGTAAGGACAATTAAAGATGCGAGATTAATTATTGCAGTTTCAGAAAATCCTGGATACAAATAATACCATCATTTAAATAAATTTATATTTTTTTTTGCCAAACGTATACAATTGTATAACCAATTTTAATTTAGACAAAAAATGAAAAAAAAATCTGATTTCTAAGTATAGACAAATATATAAGTATAGATAATTTTTTTGTTCAAACATTCTGTGGCTGTTACAGAGGTCTTGCTCAGTATTGAAGGCCAACATCAATATGACTAAGTCACTTAACGATGAACAACAACTGCAATTAAAACACTTTTTTATGCTTCTGAACTTTTTGTATACCTTTATTCTGTGTTAACCATGTTAACTGTTATGAAATGAAATGAAATTGAAATATAAATCATGATATAATATGATCTTCTTGTTCTCTGGTCATGCTGGTGGACAATATATAATATGACTATTTGTTCTCTGATGAAGAGTTGTTAATTTATTGGCAATCATATGTCATATTCTTAGTTTTATAATTACATGTAACTCCATTAGGCCAATTAAAATTAATTGATAGATTTTCATCCCCGCCCGCCCCTCTGAAATCGTTCCGCCCCAATTTTTTTTTATTTTGAAAAATTTACGATTTCCAGATTTTTGTTCATTTTCGTTACCGGTAACTGTCGATAATTTCGTTTCATTAATAACATCCTGTTTCAAATTTTGGTTTTTGCATTTCTTTGTATGTTTGATTCGTTATACATGTATATACATGATAGAACCTTATTATTACACTTGCATATATGAAGAACACGTCACAAGAGCGTTTCATATCTAATAAAAAATAAAAAATAAAATCCTCCCACCCACCCCATTTTTTTCAAAAATTTGGATGAAAATCTACTAATTAAATTTACTTGGCCTTAGTGGTGCATAAGTGAATTGTATGCCTACATGTATATGATAGTATATCTCATGTATATCTAGATAGGATTAATGTTTAAATCAATTACTATTTTTTCCCCGTAATTGCCATAAAAATAACAAAACACTCATATAAGTCTTATAAATGAATATCTCCTTCTTTACCATGTTTACAGTTCAACTGAATATCATATGTCTATTTGTAGATCTCTCACTTGGTCAGATACAAACGTATTGCAGATTTTTCAAATATTTCATGAAAGAAACGACAAATTACATCCATGAAATATAATTTTGTTAAATGAAATCCTTTTTTGAAACTCCAATTGTAAGAAAATTCACAAATCTCCAAAATGTCCGTATTTAGAATTCATTTTAACTGAGGTAAAAGCTCTTTAAGATGGTAAACATCAACTTCAGTGATACATGATGATGAAAAAGAAGCTAAATTGTGTAGTTAATTTTCCTCTGTCTCTCAGCATCAAAACACTAAATTCCAATTCATTTGGTCTTGAAACAGTCAATGCTTCTGCTTAGTACTTATAAGTACATTATATAGAATTGCTGTCTTTTTTCTACTTTTCATGGACATATTTGGTGGCTTTCTAAACAAATTACAATCAGATCTTCCGTAATGGCAATGATGAGTTATAAGGAACTTTCTACTGCAGGTCATCATCCCTGAAATATGAAAATGCAAATATTATATATATTAAATGAAATATTTAACATGTGAAAAGTAATCAAAAGTTAGTGCAAACATATTTCTTCAAGAAGTTACTGTTAAAATGCTAACAAAATAATTTCCCTGTCCTTATTTAATAATGTCTTCATTCATCATTTGAACAAGGATTTAATTTTCCACACACATTTTAATAAGGTGCACTACATGTACTCTTATAAAACTTTAAAGTTAAATGAGAATAACTGTTATCACAGAGATATGTCTCGCCTTTTTGTAATTTTGATAATGCAAATGTTGAAATTAAAATAGCAATACTTTAACATGTAAGTTATGCAAATATTCAAAGTCGATGAACCATGACTGAAGGTACATGGCTAAACAATCTCCATGGAATGAGATGTGTCAATGCTAATACAACTACATACCAAATACCATTGACTTATTATAAGTCGTTCCCTTTAAACAAACCTCAACACAAACATTAACTTGTAAACTATGTAAAAGTTTCAAAGTCAATGAACCATGATCAGGGGTGGGGCTATATGATCTCCATGGAAACAATACTTGCAAATGCCAATACATTTGCATACCAAATATCATTGACTTAACATTAGCAGTTCATCTTAAACTGATCTAATCACAAACTAATACATGTAAACTAAGCAAAAGTTTCAAAGTAAATAGACCATGACTGAGGGGGCGGAGCCAAATAATCTCCATGGAAATGAGATATGCCAATGTTTATACAACTGCATACCAAATATCATTGACCTACCACTAGTGGTTCCCCATAAATTGACCTAATCACAAACTAATACATGTAAACTATGAAAAGTTTCAAAGTCAATAGACCTTAACTGAGGGGGCAGGGCCAAATAATCTCCATGGAAATGAGATGTGCCAATGCTAATACAACTGCATACCAAATATCATTGACCTACCACTTGTGGTTCACCATGAACTAGACCTAATCACAAACTAATACATTGTTGCCGCCGCCGCCAGAAACAGCATACCTACGTCTCGCTTTTTGACTCCGTCAAGGCGAGACAAAAACCCAGATGTGCCTATAAGATGTATTATGTAATAAATATTTATTTATGTTAATTTACTTTGTTTTGTATCTCTTTTTCCGACAGGAATACTTCAATATCAATATCAGTAATCCACAGCTAAAAAAAATTTGCTAGCAAGTTCAGTATATTATTGTATTAATATCTGTCATGTCTGTGTAAATAAATTTTATTGCTGGTACAGATACTTCATTAACATTGATTAAATTAAGAAATTATCATGATTATTGGGTACATTTATTTTTGCAATTTTTGAAGAATGGACAAAAATGTGAGATTTATAATTGCGATTTCAGAAAAATCTGCATACTTGTACAGTTATATGTATAGATTTCAGAATGTGAGTTCCTTTTATTGCGATATTCAAGGTTGCCTCATAAAAACATTGCAATAATTTCTGAGTTTACATCATACAATATTCTTACATTGTACATGATGTAAGAACAGAAATTTATTTGGACAAATTATAAAACAGGAAGAAAAGCCAGGATCGCTAACATGTTTAACCCATCCACATTCTGTATGTACAATGTATGTTCCTGTAATTCAGTGGTTGTTGTTTGTTGCTGTGTTACATATTTCTTTTTCATTCATTTTTGTTTACATAAATTAGACCATTAATTTTCTCCTTTGAAATGTTTTACATTTGTGATTTTGGGGCCTTTTATAGCCAAATATGCAGAATGGGCTTTACTCATTGAAGAAGGCCATTCAAAGACCCATAGTTGGTAATGTCTGTGTCATTTGGACTCTTGGGGAGAGTTGTCTCATTGTACAATAGTTAGTCAGGATAAAACAATTTACCTGTCTATAATCATGATAATAATAAAGCTCTCCAAATCAAACCATTACTTTATTTCATCAAAGCTGGAATGGCATACTGTATCTTGTAATTGACAGGGGAGCTAAAAATAATAAGAGAAAGTAATTATTTAATTACATATAGGTACTTTTTTTAAAATAAGGAGCATACACATATGTATAATGTCAGATTCATATAATTTTTAAAATAAAGAAATAACGTCTGCCACACAACCCTAATTTGATATCAGGATTTCCTCCGTAGATATATAAATGCCTATTTTTTCTTGGATTTCTAGAATTGCTGCATCCTATGCTAAATAAAGAGCTGTGCTAAAAAAAAAGCCACCCCCCCCCCAAAAAAAAAAAAATTTAAAACAAACAAGTGAATCTGTGAGCTACTAATATACCCCCATGCCCTTAAAGTAAAAGGTAAACAAAGGTTGTTGAGTGATGAATCTACAAAAGCATCACACGGTATAGCTGACACATATAAACCCTGAAACCAAATTTCAGAAATCCTTGTAATGTTCCTGAGAAAGATGCAAAGAAAAATATTCATGGGACGGGCGGACTGACCCTTCTGTTTACCGGGGATATATCTTCGAGTAATGGTTTTAATTCCTGCCAACAGGGATACAGTTCAGATATTTTATGTAATACTCTATTTTTAGAACGATGATGCATGCAGTGTTTATTCAATTTAAATACTATTTTACTTATATATATATGTAGGACTCTAAAGTGAGATGGTTTGATACGCTAAAGTGCGATAGTCTGTGCTATTTATTGAACACGCTAAAGTCTGATGCCGCGATATGCTAAAGTGCGTATGTTCGCGAAAGTATTGACGTTTGCAACTTTACTTAAATCGCATTATGACGCCACAAGCCTTTTGTACAAACAAAAATGGACATGCCCGTAAACGAGAATGTTAGTGCAGATAAAGATTTTTTAATAGACAAGAAACAAATGATCCCAATCCCGAACATTTTTGGTCGGTGCTAGAAGAGTGTGTATGTGGAGGAGTTACTTCCCAAAAAATCATCCACAGTAACAGAATGCAAACCTTTGATCCCGCTGTGTTGGCGGGGACAAACATGATTCTGTCAGTATACTGGAAAAAAATACTTTTCATAAACATAGACTGAAACTGACGTTAGTAAGGGGAAGGTGTATACCATAAAAGAGAGCGAAAATGGCAAAATACACCAAGTGTCAAAGTATTTAATTCGTCCCATGTCATTTACTGGAAAAGCATATAGCTCTTCAACTGTTTCGGTACTTATCATGCTTATACATCCTCGGATTTCAAATGTTTGGCTTTGAGTGTTCCTGATGAAGGTAAATCCAGAAATGCGCTTCGGACACATGAAATTATTAAACGTTTTGTTTTCAAATTTTTACTTGCGTGAAATAAAAGCCACTTTTAAACTTTCTAATTGAATAATTTTGTAAAAACAATTTTTTAAAATATGGTTCGTCATGTCCGTAAAAGAGATGGATACTCGTCGACAAGACAGTAACATAACGACCAGAGGTGTAGTATCATAATATGATTGCCAAAGCGACCAGTCGCTATCCAATGCTAAATGCCATTAATGTAATTAACTATAGGTTACCGTATGGCTAACCCTGCAGATAGTATTCTATAACGACCAAAGAGTATCAAAACGACCAGTGTATAACAATTCAAACGAGAAAGATAACGGACTGATTAATATACAAAATAAACAATAAACAAAAAAACAGATAAGAAGATGTGGTGTAATTGTCAACGAACAAATATCCACCAAAGACCAAATATGGTTGATGTATGCACCTAATAAAGTTATGACCTTCAATGTGGAGCCTTGTTTTACGTCGCATAGAAAGCTATACAGGATCACGAAAGGACTTGTGTAAAACAATTCAAAAGAGAATAACAACGACATGATTTAGAAACAATACAATAAACGAAAAACTAATATGAACACAACAAAAAACAAAAACAATCGCCTGAATCCTATTCCCGTTACACCATTGACTTCAGCGTGTCATCTGATCGCACTTTAGCGTCTGATACCATCGCACTTTAGCGTGACCATCGCACTTTAGAGTCCTACATATATATAAAAAGAATATGTCAAAGTGGGCAGTCTTGATGAGCAAACTACATATTAATTAGTATAATTATTATTGTGTCATGAAAAGCTTCTTCAATTTTTTGCTGCGGTTCCTTCCTAATAATGACGGTCATAGGAACATTAGGAAGGCGTCCCAGTTAATCATTAACAAAGCCTTTCAAGAAATTATAATAATATTTTGACTATGTATAAAAAATTGTTTAATTTAGCCATCAATTTAAGTACATAAACTTGCAATTGGTTATATATATATTTCTGAATTGGTAACGATTTAAAAAATACTGGTTCACAGATAATAAGATAATTTATTCAAGGTGCACAGGCTTTTTCCAGAGAAAGACGCACTGTCCAGGATATTTTCAAATAATTACCCAGATACTCAGCCTTCTGCAGTCATTTTTAATGGACATAAAGATGTTGTAATCATATTGCTGTCACCTTTTAACTTCCTTAACAGCTTAAGTTGCATCCGATTTCAAAAAATTATTATTTATAGTACATTTAAATTTGAAGTTCTTTATCACATACATGAACCATAAATATTCAATAGAATTGCAAATCTTTTTTGACAAGCATGAGAAATAAATTGTACGACAGGAAACATGGAAATAAATAAGGGGGAACATGTAGCATGCACATCGAACCAAACACGAGATACATGTATTGAGAGGTCAAACTTCAAGCAGGAAAATAAGTGAAATAAAATATATACACTGGGTAAATAGAAAACATTGGGTCATTGCATAAAATTAACCCTTTACCGCCCTTTTAAATTCAAAGTTGATTAATACAGCACTAAGCAGAAAATAATATAGTATGGACTTCACACTGATTAAATGGTGGGAGAAGAAGTTGGAAAGAGAGTGGGGGGGGGGGGGGGGAGGGGGGGGGGGGGGGGGGTAGTCCAAATAATTATGTCTTGCAAGGCTTCCTTTTGAGCAAGTTTGTGTACCCTGTGTTACAAATTAAGAGCTCCATGCTATGAAAGTAGGGGTCATTGCTCCAGCAATGCGGGTGCCGGAGAGAAGTGAACGGTGGAATCCCCCCCTTTTTGGCAGGTACCTGCTAAACGAAATTTAGAAACGAATTTCAGGGTAAATGTTGAGAATGGGCTCTCGGTATAATGGAGGGATCTTGTTTCATTCGATATTCTGTTCATTTATTGACGGGATTCTATAATTTTCAAATTTCAGATATTTGTTGCAGTCTAGTTTCGTTTTGACCACCATGACCACGTGTATATCATGCTTGCCAACACTGAACTCGTTTTTATCTATAAGTATACAGTTTTTTTTATTTCTGAAGCGAATGATTAACAAAACAAGCAACGTATGTTTCATAAATGATACATATTTGGAGGCTCACACTTACTTTTCTGGTTAGATTTTCACATAGAAGTGAAAATAATTTTCGCTGCAAGGTTCTTTCCATTCTGCAAACTACAAACATCTACTTGACGGCGATCGTCTACTGATTGGTTAATCTGCAAAAGGAGGCGGGGTCCACAAGCCGACAATCTCGTCAACAAAAACAGCTATTGCAACTGTTAACCATAATAATTAAAGCACAAACATAAAATATTCGTGTTTCGATAAACAAATTACATCATATGGCTACCCGTTTTTAGTTAACAGGCATGTATGTAATTTGATTTCATAACAGTTTCATCGACAGACGCAGCTTACGGAATCTTCGCCATTAATGAATATATGAATACATAATGAGGTCCTTACGGGGTTATCTGCCCCTGACAAAATCTTATCGAAATTGCCTTAACATCGCTGCGTATGACTTTAAATCGGTCATTTGATCAAGACAATCTTCTTCTATGTATTGACAATTGTATAAGAAGTAAACTTGAACCAACCACAGCTTTATTAAAAAAAATTACATTTTTTAGCTAATGTTACCACTTTTTGGATAATTCATTCAGATGTTACCTTAAATCGACCATATTCTAAAGATAATTGTATAGAATGTAACACCAAACCTATCATCGGTTTATTGATATTTTTTCTACATTTCACTGAAAATTTGACCACTTTTTTATAGTTGTATTTGATATTACCTTAAATCGGTCATTTGTTTCAGATCATATTTTTAAATGTACTGACAATTGTATCAGATGTAAACATGAACCAACCACAGAATTGTTGAAAATTTTACATTTTTCAGTTAATTTAACCACTTTTTGGATAATTGTATTAGATGAAACCTTAAATCGACCAAATTTTATAGATATTTGTAGAATGTACACCTAACCTGCCATCGGAGTATTGATATTTTTTCTACATTTCACTGTAAAATTGACCACTTTTTTGATATTTGTATTTGATATGACTTTAAATCGGTCATTTGTTCCAGATGATTTTCTGAGATGTACTGACAATTGTATCAGCTATGAACATGAACCAATCACAGCATTGTTGATAATTTTACATTTTGTGTTAATTCAACCACTTTTGGATAATCGTATTAGATGAAACCTTAAATCGACCATTTTTTTTAGATATTCGTATAAAATGTAGCATCCAACCTCCAACGTTTCTGATAATTGTATTTGATATTGCCTTAAATCGGTCATTTGTTCCAGATCATTTTCTTAGATGTATTGAATGTTGTATCAGATGTAAACATGAACCAACCACAACTTTTTGAAATTTTACATTTTTCAGTTAATTCAACCACTTTTTTGATAATTGTATTTGATATGACCTTAATTCGGTCATTTGTTCCAGATCATTTTCTTAGATGTACTGATTGGTGTTTCAGATGTAAACATGAACCTTCCATAGCATTGTTGAAAATTTTACATTTTACATTTTTCAGGTAATTTAACCCCTTTTTGGATAGTTGAATTAGATGAAACCTGAAATCGACCATATTTTATAAATATTTGTATAGAATGTAACACCAAACCTCAAATAGGTTTCTTGATAATTATTCTACATTTTACTGTTAAATAGAACACTTTTTGATAATTGTATTTGATTTTACCTTAAATCGGTCATTTGTTCCAGATCATTTTCTTAGATGTACTGACTGTTGTATCAGATGTAAACATGAACCCACCACATCCTTGTTGAAAATTTTACATTGTTCAGATATAACAACTTTTTGGATAATTGTATAAGATGAAACCTTAAATCGACCATAGTTTATAGATATTTGAATAGAATGGACACTTAACCTGCCATCGTTGTATTGATAATATTTCTACTTTTTACTGTAAATCTGACAACTTTTTTGATAGTTGTATCTAATGTTACCTTAAATCTGTCATTTGATCAAGATAATTTTCTAATATGAATTGACAATTGTATTAGAATTTGAACCAACCTAAGCTTTATGAAAAAAATTACAACATTTTTCAGTAAATTTAACCACTTTTGGATAATTGTATTAAACTTTAAATCGACCATATTTTATAAATATGTGTATAGAATGTAACACAAAATCTGCCATTGGATAATTAATATTTTTTCTACATTTCACTGTAAATTTGACTATTTTTTTAATAATTGTATTTGATGTTACCTTAAAGCGATAATTTGTTCCAGATTATATTTGTAAATGTACTGACAGTTGTAGAAAATGTAAACTTGAACAAACCACAGTTTTATTGAAAATTTGACAACATTTTTCAGTAATTTTTCCCTCTTTTTGGATAATTTATTCAGATGTTACCTTACATAAACCATATTTTAAAGATGATTGTATAGAATGTATAACCAAACCTGCCATCGGTTTATTTTTAATTTTTCTACATTTCACTGAATTTGACGACTTTTTTTATTGTATCTGATATTACCTTGAATCGGTCATTTATACCAGTTAATTTTCTTACGTGAATCGACATTTGTATCAGATGTAAAACCAACCACAGCTTTAATGAAAATTTTACATCATTTTTCAGGAAATTTGACCACTTTTTGGATAACTGTATTAGATGTTACCTTTAATCAACCATATTTTATAGATAATTGTATAGAATATAACACCAAACCTGCCATCGCTTTATTGATAAGTATCTACATTTTACTTTTAAGTTTGACAACTTTATTAAAAATGTATTTTATATTACCTTAACAGGTCATTTGTTCCAGATAATTTTCTTACATGTACTGACATTTGTATTAGATGCACACAGGAACCAACCAGAGCTTAATTGAATATTTTACAACATTTATCAGACAATTTTAACACTATTTGGATTACTGAATTAAATTTAACCTTAAATCGACCATATTTTATAGATAATTGTATAGAATGTAGCACCAAACCTGCCATCGGTTTAGTGATATTTTTTCTACATTTTACTTTAAATTTGACCACTTTATTAATCAATGTATTTGATATAACCTTAAATAGGTCATTTGTTCCAGAGAATTTTCTTAGATGTGCTGACAGTTGTATAAGATAAAAATATGAACCAAACAGAGCTTAATGGAAATTTTACATTTTTTAGTAAATTTAGTAATTTAAGTTTAATCCACCATTTTCTACATTTGAAAATGTCTGTAACGAGTCAGGAATATGACAGTTATTGTCCATTCGTTTTTGATATGTTTTGTCATTTGATTTTGCCATGTGATTGGGACTTTCCGATTTGATTTTCCTATGAGTTCAGTATTTTTGTGATTTTACCTTTTACAACTTTTTGGATAATTCATTTAGATGTTACCTTAAATCAACCATATTTTAAAGATAATTGTATAGAATGTAACACCAAACCTGCCATCGGTTTATTGATAATTATCTAAATTTCACTGTAAACTTGACCACTTTTTTATAGTTGTATTTGATATTACCTTAAATCGGTCATTTGTTTCAGATCATTTTTTTAAAGTACTGACAATTGTATTAGATGTAAACATGAACCAACCACAGCTTTGTTGAACATTTTACATTTTTCATTTAATTTAACCACTTTTTGGATAACTGTATTAGATGAAACTCTAAATCGACCATATTTTATCGATAATTGAATAGAACACCAAACCTGCCATCGGTTTATTGATATTTTTTTTATATATTTCACTATAAATTTGACCACTTTCTTGATAATGTAAAATGACCCCAATTCAAGGTAACATCTTATAAAATTCTCAAAAAGTGGTAAATTTTACTGTAAAATGTAGTAGAATTGTCAGTAGAGCTGTGTGTAAAAAGTAATAGAATTGTTAGTAGAGCTGTGAAAGGTTTTCTGAGATGTCAAATAATTATCGATAAAATATGTTCGATTTAAGGTTATATCTAACATATTATATTTAAAATGGCTAAATCTTGTTAAATGTAATACAATTATCAATAAGAAAAGTGACTGATTTAAGGTTACATCTAAAACAATTCTCTATAAAAAAATGTAGAATTTTGTAGAATAACCCCATTTTAAGGAAACATCAAATACAATTATAAGAAAGTCGTAAAATTTTCTGTAAAATGGTCATTACAGCAGTGGAAGGTTTACTGTTACATCTGAAAAACAATTATCCATAAATTATGCTTGAATTAAGGTTATGTCTGTTATATTATATTTAAAAAGTCAAATCTTGTAAAATCTAAGACAATTATAAATAAGAAAAGTGACCGATTTAAGATTACATCTATAACGATTCTCTATAGAAAGTGGTAAAATTTTGTAAAATGACCCCAATTTAGGATATCATCTAATACAATTATCAAAAAACGGTAAAATTTACTGTAAAATGTAGTAAAATTGTCAATAGAGCAGTGGAAGGTTTGCTGTTACATCTCAAAATCAATTATCCATAAATTATGTTTGAATTAGGGTTACGTCTGATATAATATATTGAAAAATTTAAATCTTGTAAAATCCAAGCCAATTATAAATAAGAAAAGTGACCGATTTAAGATTACATCTATAACGATTCTCTAAAGAAAGTGGTAAAATTTTGTAAAATGACCCCAATTTAGGATATCATCTAATACAATTATCAAAAAGTTGTAAAATTTACTGTAAAATTTAGAAAAATTGTCAATTGAGCACTGGAAGGTATGCTGTTACATCTCAAACAATAATCGATAAAATATGTTCCATTTAAGGTTACATCTAATTTATTATATTCAAAATGGTTTAATCTTGTAAAATCTAATTAAATTATCAATAAGAAAAGTGACCGATTTAAGGTTACATCTAAAAGACCGATTTAAGGTTACATCTAAAACAATTCTCTATAGAAAGTGGTAGAATTTTGTAAAATGACCCCAGTTTAAGGTAACATCAAATACAATTAAAAGAAAGTCGTAAACTTTACTGTAAAATGTTGTAAAATCGTCAATAGAGCAGTGGAATGTTTGCTGTTACATCTCAAAAACAATTATCCTTAAATAATGTTTGAATTAATGTTACGTCTGATATATTATATCTAAAAATTTCAATCTTGTAAAATCTAAGACAATTATCAATTTAAAGCTACATCTAGAATAATTCTCTATAGAAAGTGGTAGAATTTTGTAGAATGACCAAAATGTAAGGTACCTTCTTATACATTTATCAAAAAGTGGTAAAATTTACTGTAAAATAAAGTAAAACTGTAAATTGAGCAGTGGAATGTTTGATGTTATTTCTCAAACAATAATCGATAAAATATGTTCGATTTAAGGTTACATCTAATAAATGACATTTAAAATGGATAAATCTTGTTAAACCTAATACAATTATCAATAAGAAAAGTGACCGTTTTATTAGACGTGTAAGGAAAGTCATTACGATTTTGACGCTGATGTTAAATACAAATACCACTACAGACTATAGTG